CAATTCTTAAGACCATGATATGAAATAACTTGGATTTACACAGAGACAAAAAAGTATATGTCAGCTTCTTAACAACAAGTAAAAGATACAAGCTTATATCTGATCTTTTGAAAAACAGAAATTATCTCAAATGAACACAATATATGTTAGATCAACATTACCAGGGTTAAGGGTTTTATTAGGTGTATAGAGTATAATTTTATGTGCTTGCTCACTTAATCTCTACCTTTTCTTTCACTGCATTTCATTTCCGGTATATTGCATAGCATTTCCGACATTTTTTAATTTCATTTACGACAATTTTTTTTCCATTTCCGACAATTTTTTGTATTTCCAGAATATTTGTAGGATATCTTTCTGGCAATTTTATGTTAGCCAAATAGGTGGAAATAGAATTTTTATAGAATTAATTTCAAACTACGTTTTCAAAATATAAATAAAAACATATAATACAATACATTTATACAGGTAGCATTAAGATTTATAGCATTTTTCCGTGTGCTGCATGTACATGCATATGTGATGTCTTTGTTTTTAAAAACATAAAAACATTCTTCTGTCTTTAGAGAATCCCTTCAACGATGATGGTTTTTTCATGGCCATAGGAACCGGGGGAGCACGGGGGCCCGTGCCCCCCCCCCCCCCCAATTATTTTGCCAATATATAGAATACTATAGAAAACTTCGCTACAATATGTTTGTGCCTACTCAATAATAATGTCTGATGACCTTTTTTGCCAAGGAATTTTTGGTAGTTGATAGTGCCTCCCAAATGAAAGTGTTTGGTTGCCCCCCCCCCCCCCCCCAACTGAAATTGCTTCCTATGGGCCTGTTTTTACGTCGACTGGTTTCTGTATGCCTTATAATTTCCATCCTAGCATATCTGATTTCAAACTTAAATCTGAACATTTAAAAAAGGAGATGACGAAAGTTCACAATACTTACGTGTGTCTCAGGGAATCTTTTTAATCATTACATTGGCTTCAAGCAAAACTCATTATTTGGATTTCAATGATTTCTCCATGATTTATTAATTAAAATTTTTCATAAGTGAAGTCTTCAATCCTGCTTTCATTGCAGAAAAGTACTACTTGAAAAAATGTCGGAGATAAAAACTTTATAATGTTGGAAATAAAAGATGAAAATTTAAAAAAATTCCGGAAATGAAATGCAGCCATTGAAACTATGCCCATAATATCGTGCACATGTCTTGGAGTTAATCCACAATACACACTAATGTGTGTGTACAAGTTACATGAAAAACATTATTTATGGAATACATCCTTATTTTGGTAACTTATTTATAATCAGATCAGAGAAAGATGTAAGGAGTAGGTGAACAAGGCGTGCAGAATGCCTATAGCTTCAGATATGTAAAAAAACAAATTCAATTTGTGAAATTAGTATTAGTACATTTCTTTTTATTGAAATTCCTGAAATTATGATAAAACTTTTCCGAGGAAAATTTTCCCGGCAAAAATTATACTGTTATTAAAAATTAATGGGGTATTCATGGGGATCGAACCCCCTAGCAATAAAAATCCTGAGTATCATTTTCCTTTGATACCAACGCGCTAACCACTACGCTATACAACTCCTGATAAATAGTGGCATTTAAAGAGGCTGGGGGGTTGTGGCCATTTTTAGACTATATTGATCTCCTTTAGAAGAAGAGCTCCATATGAAGATATAGAAAATGATCAAATTTTAAAACTAAAATTTTTGAAATTTTTCTTTGCCAAATGATAGTTGACAGCTTGAGATATCATATCTAAAAAATTAAGTTAAATCTGGTGGTTAATTTGTGGTTAATTTGTTGACCCCCCAGCCTCCTTAAATCGTGTTTGTGATATGACCCTTGACTAAATGGACTTAAAGTATTTCTTAGAGGATGCGAATGTTGTGTCATAAAAGTGTATTTTTAAGGTATAGTGGGTCTTTGCTCCTTGTCTTTGTTTGCCAAAAAATGTATATTTTTATGCAAACTTTGACGGTAACCTTTCAATAAAATGGAGCGATGACCCACTCATATCAAAAAAATGTGTTATAGTATGAGAAAATGATCGTTTTGCCATCTTTAGTGTGTGTGTATGCTATTTCATAGGCAAATAATTTCAATCTTCGTGAGATTTTTGCAAATTGTGGAAATTTTACATAAAGTATACTTTAATGTTAGATGATATATCAAAGAAAATTTTGTAATTGAGATTTAATTTTTCACCTTTATGTTTGTTACACTATAGGCAGTTCGCTTGCCTTGTTCGCCGATCTTCTTTGTATCAGTAATTTGAGGAATCTTGATCAATTCATTTTAGAGAGCTTTAATAAGTTACACTTCTGAATTTACACAGAGGGCTAAAATGGTACATGCACTGGTCGAAGTGGGAGTAAAAAAAAAGAGATTTGTTGTTACATTCATTGTTAATGAAATTAATTCTTCTTAACTTTTCAAGTGTTGTTACTTAAGGTGTATAAAGCAATAAAATACTTTGAAAAGACCTGCTACATGCTTTAGTTGTCTGTATTGCAGAATTTGTTTTACATTCCATTCGACATCATTCATACCTACTTTGAACTGGAATGTTTTTTCGGTGAATTATGAATTTTTATGTTTAGTTGCTAAGGGGATTGCATATTGCCATGGCTTAATTATTAGGAGATTGCATGTTGCCATGACAACCACTGATAGAACATTTTATATTCTTTCCGCTCTCTCAACATATACAATCATCAACACATTAACTGAATATTCATTTCCATCACAAACAATATCATCCCAAAGTCAAATCTATCTTACAGGAGGCATACTGCACATTGGTTGTCATGTACTGGTAATAGTTGCCATGGGTTGATTAAGTATACCAAAAATAAACTTTAATAAGACCAACATTTCATTGTCAATTTTGCTCAACGACATTTTTCTGACTTAATTTGAATAAATATTAATAATATTACATGAATACATGTCAAAATTAACTTTCTTTGCCCGTTGCTATGGAGAACCTGTTGTTGCTATGGAGATAAATAATTATACAATATTCAATAATTTGCTAGGAAGTCCAAATTTAATACTACTATTTTAAGATGTTTTTCGTTTTTGTAGATAACAATTCATTTGATTTTTCCGTAAACTTTTTACATTGTTTCTCATTTTATGTATCAAAATGCCCATATTTGTTGCTAGGCAACAGATTTGATTTTCAAAAAGGCCCATGGATTTGACTTCAAATTCTAAAAGAGAAATTCATCTGCTTTTATGTGAAATACACGCAACAGCTGTATTAATCTGGCCTTTTTTTAAATTTGGCCTTGAATATTGCCAAAATCACGAAAAATGCTGAATCAGCAGAAATTGCAAAACATATGTACCTTCCAATGGCTAGCAAAGAACTAACTTAAGACCTAAATTCTTTCATTGCATTATTAAAACACTTTAAATGTGTATCTTTATTACACCAGTAATTGAGAATAATTTTCATGGTATTAAAATTTTATTTTAAGCCTTAAAGATAGGTGAATTTTTGTCCATCAACATGGAAAAAATTGCCGGTTGCTAAGGAAATTTCTTTGGCCGGGTTTCCATGGTAACCATGACTCAAAACATTTTTCATTTTACATACATTGTTCATAGTTCAAACAAATCTATGTGTGGAAAATCATCAAATTCTGAGAACCCTCATATATCACCCTTTGTCTGATTTTTATGTGGACTGGTACTAAGAATCAGAAATTATTGTTGCCAATCATGTAATGCTTATTTTTATTTTAAAAGATTAAATCTTTTTCTTTTTACATAAAAACTTGAAACAACAAAAGGTCTACCAGATGGTAATATCAAACTGAGATAAACGGTTAAACTAAATAGATATTGGGTAACCCGAATTTCCTCTATTTTTCTTCATTTTTTAGGGAATATTAGTTATTTTTATATACTTTGTATATTTAAAATTATATTATTTTTACATATGGTAAAGTAGTAATGTAAAGATACGAAATGATACAAAAACCAAAAGTTTTGACCGTTTAATAAGAGAGAAAAACATTTTTTACTGAATTTTTACTCGAATCTGCTCTCAGAATCCTTAGCTTTCCAAGGCTATAATATTGCCATTTGTCTAGAAAATCATATTTATTTGATATATTTCAAAACCTTAGTCCATTTTTACTAATTTCCGTTACTTTTAAAACTTCCTTAAGCCTTTGATTGTTTAAAAATGCCTTTTAAATTCCTTATTCTATAGTAATTTTGAGAAGCAGAAAAGGAGATACATGTATTTTCATACGCCGCCCTCCCGCCAAAAATATAGTCCCTGCTAGATTTCAAAGTCAGTTTACAATTACTATTTCAAATTGAACTATTATGAAAAAGAAAGAAGAATATTATCTTTAAAATCTTTAACATCTAAATATAAAAGACAAGTAAGCAAATATACTTTGAGTATTTCATTTAGTCAGAAACCAGACAATAATCCCTCCTTAATTAATATGTATCTGATTTAGAGCTCTTAGAATAAAAATTCGATTATTTATTACATTGTTATGTACATGTCTTAATAAATTGTTTTGCCAAAAAAAAAAAAGAAAAAAAAAAGGAGAGACGTTAATACCTAATGCTAGTAGAGTGAAATAGAGATTTTTTTTTAATTTGCCCCTTTTGATATACATGTATACATGTAATTTATATTTTGATGAAATAAGATGAATTATGGGGTTTCTTGAATTAAAATGGCCTCGGTATGGTTACAAATATATGTAGATGACTATAAAGATAAATGACTTGTTGTAATTGCACTGGTCATGTATATATTAACATTCATCAATTTGTAAGCTACAACATTTCCTTTTTCATTAGAAGCATTTCTCATTGATGATTATAAATGTTACAGGCATCGATTGTTATTCTGTAAACACATCTTTTTAAGTCAGCCGTTAAGAGTTATCCTGTAAACAAACTCCTCAAGCATGACCTGTAATTGTACATGATTTCTAATTGTTTCCTAGGAGCGTGAGTATTATAGACTCCATGATAACGATGCTAGAAAAGTATGCCAATAATCTAGAAGATCTAGTGGAGGAGAGGACAGTAGCACTCAACGAGGAGAAGGATAAGACAGACCGTCTATTGTATAGGATGTTACCCAGGTAAAGTAGACTCATTAAAGACAGACTGTCTGTCTACTGTATAGGATATTACCTAAATAGGGTAAGACTAAAGACTGACCGTATATTGTATAGGATGTTACCAGGTAAGGTAGACTCATTAAAGACAGTCTACTGTATAGGATGTTACCCAGGTAAGGAAGACTCAAGACTGACCGTATACTGTATAGGATGTTACCCAGGTAAGGTAGACTAATAAAGAGAGACCGTCTACTGTATAGGAGGTTACCCAGGTAAGGTAGACTAATAAAGAAAGACCGTCTACTGTATAGGAGGTTACCCAGGTAAGGTAGACTAATAAAGAGAGACCGTCTACTGTATAGGAGGTTACCCAGGTAAGGTAGACTAATAAAGAGAGACCATCAACTGTATAAGAGGTTACCCAGGTAAGGTAGATTAATAAAGAGAGACCGTCTACTGTATAGGAGGTTACCCAGGTAAGGTAGACTAATAAAGAGAGACCGTCTAATGTATTATTAGTTACATAGTTTTTTAGTGACAGGGTACGGGATGATACCTGGTTAGTAAATTCCATACCTGGCGAGGCGAAGCCGAGCCAGGTATGGAATTTACTAACCAGGTATCATCCCGTACCCTGTCACTAAAAAACTATGTAACGAATTTACCCCACCGATAAAATATTTATGCATTGTCTGTGGTTTGTAAAATTGTTTTTCTCACTATATATATGTTTCATCACTCATACAATGCCTATTATGACGTCACGTTGTGTGAAGTAATGTTGTTTTGCAAGTGTTTCGTGCTGTAATAACGTACTGACAGTTTTGAAGACTTTCAGTACAGGGAGAAAAAGGTTCCATCTTCGTTACTTACATTAGTTAAATGTAACATTGTTAACAGACACTCGGCAAATCGCGTAAACTCGAGTTGTTCGAACGTTACAAAAGAACGATAACTCCGTATCTACCATGTATTGATTTTCAAGCGACTAGGTATAAGTAATACACCCCCTTCACATGACAGACTTCAACCAATCGTAAGCCAGGATTTCATCGAAAAATCAACAGAGGTGGGGTAAAGGAGGTTACCCAGGTAAGGTAGACTAATAAAGAGAGACCGTCTATTGTATAGGAGGTTACCCAGGTAAGGAAGAATAATAGAGACCGTCTACTGTATAGGATGTTACCCAGGTAAGGAAGAATAATAGAGACCGTCTACTGTTACCCAGATAAGGTAGACTAATAAAGAGAGACCGTCTACTGTTACCCAGATAAGGTAGACTAATAAAGAGAGACCGTCTACTGTTACCCAGATAAGGTAGACTAATAAAGAGAGACCGTCTACTGTTACCCAGGTAAGGTAGACTAATACAGAGAGACCGTCTACCGTTACCCAGATAAGGTAGACTAATACAGAGAGACCATCTACTGTTACCCAGATAAGGTGGACTAATACAGAGAGACCGTCTACTGTTACCCAGATAAGGTAGACTAAGGACAGACAGTCTACTCTATAGGATGTTACCCAGGTAAGGTAGAATGAAAACATACTGTCTACTCTATAGGATGTTACTCAAGTAAAGTAGAATGAAAACATACTGTCTACTGTATAGGTTGCTTCACAGGCAAGGTGGACTTTCTGTCTAGGTCTACTGTATACATGTAGTATGGTACCCAAGTATGGTAGACTAAGAATAGACAATCTTCAGTAAAGGATGTCACCCAGGTAAGGTATACTTAAAAACTGTCATTGTATTGGATGTCACCCAGGTAAGGTATACTTAAAAAACTGTCATTGTATTGGATGTTATCCAGGTAGGGTAGACTAAAGACAGACCGTCTACTGTATAGGATGTCACCCAGGTAAGATAGACAACTTATCTGCCCGTCCATTTTTTAGGTTGTTACCAAGTTAATATAGGCTACTTGTCTAAACGTCTACTGTATATGCTGTTACCAAAATTATATAGACTAATTGAATGAGAGTAAGATAGATTTAAAAGGCACCATATTTTATAGGATGTTTTACCCAAGTAAGACACATCTCCTAAAGACGCTCAATCTATTATATAGAATGTTACCCAGTAAATCTAAAGACCGACTGTTCACTGTAAAGGATGTTACCATTAGTTCGGAATTTCATGCTTCGTAAGAAGTTTATAACTTGTGAATTGAAATACTTAATTTGCTTTAAATTAAATTTTGACTATGAAAAGTTTGATAATATTCTTATTTTGGACTGATAAGATTTTAAATCTTTTCAGTCCAGTATTCTGATTTTGACTTGAGCGTAATATGTCTCGTGATCCTATTGCATGAGCTATCGATCCTAAGTACTACAGTTCTTTTTCAATCTTATTTTGGTTTATTTAGGCTTGTGGCTGATAAACTAAAGAGAGGTGAATTTGTTGTCCCAGAGGAGTTTGAGGCTGTTACCGTATTCTTTTCAGACATCGTAGGGTTTACCACTATTGCTGCTAAGATCACGCCGCTTGATGTCGTGGATTTCCTTAACGAAATTTATACGTTATTTGACGATATAATTTCCACATATGATGTTTATAAGGTAAAGATTTCAATGCAGATTTTCCCATCCATTTGTAATACAAGAAGCTTAGTATCACACATAATTTTTAAAACAAAAAGTGAAAAAAGAGATTGAAGGAACAAAAACGAGTCATTATTTATGAAAGGTGGATAAAAAATTATTATGAGTATAACCATGTTATTTCAACCTCAAACAATTTTCAGACAAAAAGGGAGATAAATCTACTTTTATTCAGGGTCATAATGTGTTTCATAATTACTATGGACAGGTGGAAACGATTGGTGACGCCTATATGGTGGTCAGTGGGCTGCCGGAACGGAATGGGAATGCTCACAGTAGCGAGATAGCTAACATGTCACTGGCCATATTGGAACAACTCAAACAATTCACGTTAAAGGCTATCCCTGAACAAAAAGTAACGGTTAGGATAGGTCTACACACAGGACCAGTCTGTGCAGGTGAGGGCATAGAATAAGTGATTTTTGCGGAGTATTGAAGAACAATCTTCCACGGAAGTATCATTTTAAACTGAAGATTTGAAACCTTATTAAACTTATAGATTGACAAGCATGAAATATGTATCTACATTAAAATAGAGGGACAAAGGGAGGGTCTTTTCCCATTTCTCTCTCCCTCTGCTCTCTCTGAGAGAGAGAGAGAGAGGTAGAGGTGTTTTTTTCAATTACAATCTTTGGAAAGAATTGTATATGGAACTGTTTCTGTCAGAAAAAAAAATTAAATTTGAAGTATATTTTTTGAAAAGAGATTTTAATTAACTTCGAGCCTCTTTTAAGAAGCATTTGAATTTGATTAAAGTTCTCAAATGTATATCCTGGTAAGCGAATTCCATTTTAGACTCTCATAAGAGTTATTGCCCACAGTTTATTTTTGTTGAATTGTTTTAGAATCTTTACAAAATATTTACATTTAACTGAATATTTGTATTTTGTCATGGTGATAAACATTTACAAATCATGCGCTAAATATTCTAGTCTTAAATGCAATTAAATATCAATGTATTAACATCATGCCTATATGTGCCTATGTTTTGTTATAAAAGACAATGTTGCATATATTTAGACGCAGCTTTACCTTCTGAAAAAAAAAAATCCAGGGATTGGTACTCTTTTAGTTAGATTCGGAGGACGTTACTATTCATCGTTATTCTTCAAAAGGGAGTGATTTGTCACTACCATGTGTCGCTAAACAGTGATTTTCATCTGTTTAATTTCTTCACATTAGTAATAATTGAATAACAGGTGCTGGCAAACGATGTCCCATATTTCCCAATTTCTTTTTAAAGGCAATAAGATATGATCTTAATTTGTTGTTTGTTTTTTTTTTTTATATTTGTTTAACGTCCCTTTGAGAATTTTTCACTCATATTGAGACGGCACCACTTGCAGGTGGAGGGATGCGAATTTATGGACCAGTACTCGGCACTTAGAGATCTTTTTCGTGCCAGCATATACTGAGACACGGGACCTCGGTTTAAACGGTCTCATCCAAAGGACCGGTCTCCGCATCACACGGTGGATTCAAACACGCGACTCAACTCATAACTCAATGACTTTAAAGCAAACGCTCAAATCACTGTGTCAAGGGGGCAAAAATTTGCTGTTCGATAGTCGATAAATATATAATTTCTTTTAGGTGTTGTTGGACAAACAATACCCCTTTTGTGTTTTTTTTTTTAAATTTACAACATTTATGTTTCACTCTCGGTATTGGACAAACGATACCCCGGTATTGTCTTTTTTATATTAGTTAATATTTATCGTCTAGGAGTTTTAGCAATTGATACCGCAATACTATTCATTTAATGTAATATTTGACTTTCATTTGTTGTTATACAATGGTGTTGAACAGCTACTGTGTTTGTCTTTTCAACGTCATCCATGTTTGACTTTCTGTTGCTTTAAGACATACGATATCTTTTTATATAGGTTTTAATTTGATTTATGTCTTACAGGTGTTTTTGGTCAGAGGATCCCTCAGATACTGTTTGTTTTTATCAACAACATTTATGTTTGACATTTAGGTGTTGTTGGACAGACGATGTCTCAATACTGTTTTTATTCACGTCATTTATTTTTGACATTTAGGTGTTGTTGGGCAGACGATGCCCTGGTAATATTTGTTTTTTGTTTATGACATTTATGTTTGACTATTAGGTGTTTTTGGACAGACTATGCCCCGGTACGGTTTTTATTCACGTCATTTTTGTTTGACTTTAAGGTGTTGTTGGACAAACAGTGCCCCGATACCGTTTTTATTCACGTCATTTTGTTTGACTTTTAGGTGTTGTTGGACAGATCTTGACTTCGTCCCGGTGCTGTTTTATTCACGTCATTTATATTTGCGTTTTAGGAGTTGATGGTCAGACGATGCCTCAATGCTGTTTTTATTCAAGTCATTTATATTTGCAATTAAGGACATTGGCAAGTCAAGGTTTTCCGGAGAAAAAAGGTTTAATACATGGGTTTTTTCACGTATAAAATAGTGATTGAGAGTAATCTCCCGTGTAGAATTCTCTAAGCGGTGAAAACCAATAAAGCGTATGTTTACAGAAGTAAACAAAAGCACGTGTACTTTCTTCAACAGGTAGAATCATCTATACAACAAGAAAGAAAAGAAGTAATGGCTTTGTTGTACATTGTATTCAGGGACAAAGAGCCAACAGGTCGTCATTTACCATAGTTATGTTCAGTATGCTGGGAAGGGCAAAGATGTGACATATGCTAAAATGTAGGTCGACCATGCCGACTGAGAACAGTTCTTAGGTGGTATGAAGGAATCAGCATTTAGTAACTACGAATAAAAGTTAAAAATAAATACATGCCAATATTTTTATGACGACAACCGTGTTACAATCAATTCAGTCAATTACATGATAAAAAACAATCAACCAGTCTCCTGACCAATTTTAGCTTTTAAGGGACGCAACTCAAAAATGATGATCAGTGCCGGTATGTCCGTGTCTTGTTTCTATATATATATTTTTAGCCAAAATATCTAGAAATCATAGGAAATGAAGATACAATAATGAAGATTATACAAAAACTGCATGAAATAAATGGGTTTTGAAAAAATATTATGGTGAAAAATTATGTAGGTCCCTTTTATCAACATTTTACATAGGAAATGCATTAAGAAGTGTAAAAACACTAATTTGACAAAATCTAAAAAAGAATGTTGGATTGGTAGGTAAAATGATCCAGAATATAGCCTGTTTAGTACATTTAAACCTACTCAAAAGTTCTTGAAAAATTCTATACAATAACCAGGAACCTTGCCAATGTCCTTAAGGTGCTGTTGGTCAGATGATGGCTCAATACTGTTTTTATTCATGTCATTTATGTTTGGCCTTTAGGTGTTGTTGGACAGACGATGCCGCGGTACTGTCTCTTTGGAGACACAGTGAATACAGCATCAAGGATGGAGTCTAATGGAGAAGGTGATATCGATACTAGAAGTTTTAAAATGGATATCCCATTAAAATGGATTACCTTTCTTTCTATTCTAAAATCTCAGAAGTTTTCTGATAACCAAAAGGAGTTCAAAAATTTAATCATTTAGATTGGGTTTTATAAATAACCCAATCAATTGGTCTTTTTGGAAAAAAATATTTTCAAATGCATAAAATTGTTTTAGCTTTGAAACTCAATACATTTTTTCTACTCAGGTGGAAAGATTCATATCACAGAAAACACAAAGACTGCGTTGCACAATCTTGGAGGTTATGAGATGTTAGACAGAGGAAATATAAAAATAAAAGTATGGTTATTGAAGTCTATCACATTACAAAGATATGCTTGTATTTACTTTTGTTGAGCCTAGTTGAAAATGATCGTATCACATAGTACTATGTCTCTGCATTTCAGGGAAAAGGAGAAATGTTCACGTATTGGTTGTTAGATAAAACAAAGGTTTTACCTCCTATATTCTCCCCGAGTAACTCAGAAAAGAAACAAATGTGCAGTTTTACAAGACAGCAAATGTCTCTTAGATGTGGAGTAGATGTAACAGACGGATTTCCCGGCGAGGAATGGACGGAAGTCTACTACTGACCTGAGAATTACAAAGAACAACCTACAGAACTTTACATATTTAAAACGTCAGGCACCGGACAATTAAACTAAGATGAGCTTAATTACTTATGATCTCAGTTTAACCTTCCACTATAAATTAAAAAAAAAGTTAAGAAATGGATAAAAATGAAACTGAGATAAAATGTAGGCTCAATAAAAATAAATCAAGGCCTGAAAGCCAGATTACCTGAATGCAAAGATATATATTTTGTTGAAAAATAATTAAAAACTGGTTATGCGTATTCTAAAGCTTATTGCGTCAATTTCGCAAAGAAACTTCAAACAAGGATGCTTTCGTTACAAGAAATGTCACACTATAACGGAACTATGAAATTTTGTGGTATAATAAATTGGTAGATGACTGAGCAAATAAAACTGATGGATTACAGATTAGTAATCCAACATACTGAGTATTGTCAATCATACATTTTCGTAATTTAACAGCGATTTAAAACTAAATATACATTCGAAACACATTAAAAATGTCTGTCTTCTTTAATAGACATCTGAAATTTGAGAAATCATATATGACATGTCCAACGTTTTTATAGAAATGTTTACAAACTTTTAGACAATATTTTATTATAACTTTATTTTCCTTGGTATTCCTCCATTTGACTTGATGCCAGTTGAACTTTTGGAGTGGATCTTAGTAATAATTAAGGACCACCAAACTTTGTTATATTTTTAATCATTATTAAAGATCAAACTTAATTAGATTATAAGGTTTCCTCGTGTAATTATAGCTCGATAAAAAATTGACTAAACGATAAAAAGCTGTTAAAATAAACATCGTATTAGGGAGATATAAATATTGCCGTGATGCTAATGTTCTACTTAAATTACTTATAGAATGGATATTTTCCCCGTTGAGATATTTCCTCTTAAATTTAATGTGCTTCCTCTGCCAATTTATTGCAAAATTGATAAAGATCTTAATGAGACTGATTGTATCTTGTTTAATGTCCCATTGGAGAATGTTTCACTATATGGAGACGTCACCGTATGTCGGTCAAATTTAGACCTATACTCGGCACTCAGCGTAGTTGAGTAGTTAGGGATCTTTATCGTGCCAACTCACACCTTCACATGGGTCGCGGTTTTTAAGGTCTCATCCGAAAGGTCCGTAACTTTCACTTGTAATGCCTGGCGCTTGACGAAGGAACAGTCACTACTATGTTTACGTCTTTGGTTTGGCGCGGCGTGGCAAACGAGAATCGAACCCGGGCCTCCCGATCACGAAGCAAGCCCCCTACCACTAGGTAACCGAGACCGGTCTGTGGATGAAATAAAAACAGGATTTAAAAAAAAACAAACAAAAAAAAACAAGAGCTCTGCAAGGATCTCTTTGGAATTAGAAATATATCTAGAATGTTAATTATATAAGGATCACTTCGAAATAAAAGAAACTCATTATATTTTCGGTGACAAGCAGTCAATGACGCTTATAAAATTTGAATTTCACAAGAATACGTACTAGCATAAAAACGAGTTGTTATATAAATTTCCTAACGCATTATACTTTCACTTTCAATAATTAATGACTCAATTATGAGAAACTAGCAGCGCACGTATTGTCTGTTTGTTGTTTTTTTAAAGCCCATTCGAGAATTTTTCACTCATATTGAGACGCCACCACTTGCCGATGGAGGGCTGCAAATTTAGACTTGTATTTTGCATTTATGACCTTTGAGCAGTGATGGATCTTTTTTGTGCCAGTACCTACTGTGACACGGACCTCGGATTATACCGTTTCATCCGAAGGACCGGTTTCCACTTCCTCCAGTGGGATTTGAAACTCAACTACTTACTCCCCGACTTTTGAGCAAACTTTCTAACCACTGCGCTATGTGGACGACTAGCAGCGTATATAAACTTAATTCACAATTTCATAAGAATATTTACCGACTACAAAATCTCAAAAAAAAAAAAAAAAATTGCAACGCACCCAAAAGTGATAGGATATACCAGTTTTCGATCAATCTATCTCTTGTGGTGCAAAGACTTCTTGATGTAAGTCTTAAAATAAATACTGTGTTGAGAAGGTCAATTCCAATATATGCATGCATTTTCAATATGTTAACTTAAATTCAGTATGAAAATAAGCATTAATTGCATAACATATTACTCTGCATATATAGTAAGGAAGTTAGTAAATAAAAAACGAATCATCGTAGGAGGAAAGAATGCAGCATAAAACAAAATATATTTGGCATAATGAATCATGTCCAAAAAATTTACTTTATTAAGTATATGATACACATATTCATAAATGCGAAATAAACGTTGGTGTCTTATTTTTCCTGAATTGAAGGCAATTTAAGGAGATAAGAGTTAGTATTCTTTTTATTATACTGATCATGTCTTTAGTATTTTTCTATTTATCTGTGTTCTTATACACATTCATAATTATACACTTGTTTGTTTAAAACTTGATGCCCACTCTACTGTTTCTTGAACTGTCCAATTTTCCTGACCGCCTCTTTTATAGGTATATGTATAAATCTGTGTTTTAGGATCCTCTACAAAATCGCCGTTGCGTTTCTTTAGAATTCTTCTCACCTGGTATTTGGTACAGCTTCAATTTTCAAATATAAATGAATAAATAAATAAAAATGATGTCCAGTAAAACAGAATCAAGAAGAAAATAAGAAAATTAATTTAATTTATTGAAGCACCTTAGCTTTCGATGCAATACTTACCACATTATACAAATGAAGATAATTATGGCATACAAAAACAGAACTCCTCCAAGAAGAATGATTTCACAGACATGTTTCCTGAGACATAGATTGGGTATGGGGAATTCTATATAAGTTTCAAAGAAGAAAAATTAATGAACAAAAGCAAAATAACTCAAAATGAATTAGATTTAAAAAAAAAAACTTGGGTAAAGAGTCGTTTTCTTGTATGCGATTTTGAATTTTAAAATAACATCAAGTATAGACTGTAGATAAGGCTTACATTATTTAAAACTACCATGTTTGAATACAGAAATACATCTGAATTTTATTTTTTTTTTTTTAAATTGATAAAATATGAGATATTTGCAGAAACCGAATGATTTATTGACAATTCAAGATCCCCCCCCCCCCCCCCCTCGCAATTATAAAAAAAATCTATGTTATCTTTTTCTCAGGACTCAGCAATATTTTTATTAGCTTTATGTTCATAATATAGATAAGTTGACTAACGTTGCCAGGTTAAAAGTAGACATTTTCTAAGATTTTGTTACAATGCCATAAAAGGTATAAAGTTGCTTCTTTGAATACCAAGTAAAATCTACAATTTCTTTACATTTTGGAAACTAATCGTTTATGCCATTTCATTTCAAAATCGGTCAAAAATTTTAATAATTCCATGCAACAATTTCTCTTTTATTTATTCTTAACAAAATATAAATACATCGTTTGGCTATGACATCCTAAAATGAAAATTGGCATAAAAATATTGAAATTGATGCAAGAAAAAAAATCTATGAAAGTTTCCAAGAAAAAGTAGAGCACAAAACAATATAGATCTAATATACACCCACATCATACACAATTTCATGAAATGTGAATATAAAGAACAGTAATCATGCTCAAAAGTTCTTCAAAAACAATAAAAGTTGAGAGCAGAGTAAATACGGACCTCTGAAAACAGAGATGGGATCAAGTACCAAGCATCTGTAAGCAAACCCAGTCGACCGGTCACATCCGAGTGTTCCTGTCTTGATTTTGAAAAATGACGAATCGTACACAAGAATGGCCTAACAATTTATGAAAGACGTCTGTCAACCTTCGACCTGACGTTAGATTGTATTTGCAAACAATGTAAGTGTATCGACCGTAGAATCTGTGAAATGGTTGACGTTAAACGAGATTATAAATATTCCTGTATCATCAACTTATTTGTCAGTAACCTGCTCATTTTAGAAATTGTTCATACGCGGGAAGTGCTCTTTCGTATCGCATCAACTGGGAAACATAAACCCATTATGCAGGAGATATTTACATGGCTACATACGAGAATAAAGGAATTTAACGATAGAAAGCTGTAAAATTTGACTTTCCTGCACTAATTTATCTAAAGACAGGAACGTCTAAAGGACATAAATCCGTTTTGTGATTTTTAATTTTGCGTATATATATATATATATATATATATATATATATATATATATATATATATATATATATATATATATATATATATATATATATATATATATATATATATATATAATTATTTCTGGTTTTGAGGTAAATACGATGATTTAGACACCTGAGGAGTATAATATTCACCGATCCCGATAATTGTTTTAATATATGATTGAATGATTAATTGACACAAACTCATTCAACAATCTATGCCATCTTTTACATTGACTGGAGTACTAGCCAAACATAATGAGAGAAACGGGGTTAAAATAAACAATTGGGATTGTATTAATTAGGTTTTTAACTCCATTTTAGGTGCAATGGAGAGAAAATATATGTCAGGATATAGGATCGAATTTGAAAATACAAAAGCCCATTGAGCTCATTTTCGTAGGTAAAAAAAAAATTCGCGAACAAACGCGTAACTTTCGCCAATAAACGCGAATATTTCGTGTTATAATGCGAAACTTTCCCTGTAAAACAGAGACATTTGCATAAGTCTATGTACAGTCTGTTTTACTTTTTAATGATCTAGCTTATTCATTACAATGAAAAACGAAAGACTATTTTGAACTTGGATTATCACGAGCTGAAATTTTATGTTTTCTCGCCATTGAATGTGTCTCTCCTCTTTCTAAATCTTTTTTGCCGTCACATTTTGTCTTTCTCAATGCTGTTCAATACAAGTGTTGAAGCGTATAGTAGAGGAGCGAAAATACAAGTCTAATTTTAATTAGATTGAACACTATCTATAGAATTTGAAATAAAAGATCTCAGAAAATTGACAACAATGAGGTAAATTTGTATATTTCACGGAACAGGTGTGTCACATCACATGAGTAACTAACGTGAAAATTGGATGACAAATATTTGTATCAAATATTCCATCTCCGATAGACTCACTGTAGAAATACAACATTGTATTTTAAGGTTGCACCATTTGATCATACTATTACTTACGAAAACATTGACAATTTATTCAAAGAAAGCAACGAGTGGAGATCTTCCTGAGAAAAAAAATTAATCTACAGAATTTCTTGGATTCAACAAGTGAAAAACAAGAAAATCTTTAAAGGAATATTCATTTAATTAATTAGTAGGGTTTTGAGTTTAAATGCAAAATCAACACTAATCGATCTATTTCTCGCATCAATTCTCTTTTACATCTTCTGAAGAAATGTCATTTATAAATTTATAGAAGTCCCCCTCTGCATTCATGTTTTTTATCTGTCAGTCAAGATCACAGGTTCCTGAGTAACATGACTATATATGTATAATTTCGCGTTATAACGCGAAATTTACGCGTTTATTCGCGAAAGTTTCGCGTTATAACGCGAAAAATATATTATTTTTTTTTACCTACGAAAATGAGCTCAATGGGCTTTCGTATGAAAAGGGGTGGGGACATTATAATAAAAAATTGACAAGTTACCTAAAAACTGTTTGACTAGCCCCCCCCCCCCCCCCCCAAGAAAAAGAAGAATTGTCCCAATTCAAAATTTAATTGATTGGAAGTTCAGGTCCATAAACGGGTGGAGGGGAATTTCTTGAACCTTTTTATCTTTAAATTTGAAATTAAATTTAACGTTTACCTTCTCAAAAAAGATGATAAGTGGGACAATCCTCCATACAGCACCCATTACCCCCATCCCCACTCCTCACCCAAGACTCTATGTGCCTTAATGTTATGTTCATATGAGTGGAACTCAGGTGCAAGTGAAATAACTTTCCAAATCTATTTGTATCAATATAGAATTTCCCAATTTATTTTTAGTTTAATGTGAGAAAATAATGTATTGAATGTTTCAGATGGATGTTAACATCGTGCATTAGGCGATTAAGGGGCAATATGAACACCAACTATCCTTCTGTATTCAGTAACTCAGAAGTGAAAAAAAAAAGAATTAGATTACACGACCAGTTTGTACAAGTCCCAGCTGACAAAGCAGGTAACAACATTGTCTTTGTTTGTAAGGCTCATTATTTAAATTGTATTTTAGAGATTAAAAGATTGATTGATTGTGTGTTGTTTTACGTCCCGTTTGAGAATTTTTTACCCATATAGAGACGTCTGTATTTTAGAGGAACTGGGATTTAATTCTGGTAATTAACCTAACAACCAAACTTTATGATGGACATGATGAAGTTAACTTTTTCAGTCGTAAACTTCGTCGATCGTCTACTTATGAAGCAATATACCCTGATCATCTTCATATCGGGTGTATGTCTCTCAGTTGGATCGAACTATGGACAAACAAGTTGATTAAACAAGAATATCAACGGTCTCATTTAGAGTCAACATTTTGCAAGTTCTATGGTTGATGCAATGACATTGTCAGCAAATACAACCTACGATTAAGTCAAATGCTGACTGACATTTTTCATACTATAATTGTAAGGCCATTATTTGCACACTGAATTGTCTATGGATTTTCCTTTTTCCCCCGATCATGACAAGAAGCACACGTTGGTTGTGACCGGTCGGCAGGGGATGTTCACTCCTCCATGGCACCTGATTGCACCTTTGATATTTTGGTATCCGTGTTTGCTCTGCACCTGATTTGTACTGTTTAAAAGAAATCTTGATCTTGAATACAGTTCGTTATCTCCATATTTCAAAAAAGGACATTGTGTCACGACAAAAATTCCTCGCAACCACATTTTACAAAAATCACCTATATATACATGTACCAGGATATGTAGCCATTTAGCACGCTAATGCTTAAGCATAATATGAATACAAAAGACATAATTAAACTTAATTTGTTGAAGAAAGCTCTATTATACCTCCCTTTTGTGTGTTTTAAATCACGTTTGTTTTTTCTATTGATCGCATCATTGTCTCAAGGATAAAAAATACGGACCTGTTTTTATAAGTTTCTTTTGATCCTTCATTTCGGGTATACAGGAAAAACCATCAGGATTCTCTTGAAAACATGCTTTCACTGCATAATGATCGTAAGTTTCTAAAGGAATATTGAATATTGGATATATATCTTAAACAAAATCAAACATTTCTTACTATGATCTTATATGATATTACTGTGAGCCCGCATGTGTAAATCTTCCGAACTAAAGTTTTTAAAGCTTTTGTTCAAAACTACGAAATATTTACCATTGACACACTGGACTCCTTGACTTTCACTGCAATTTCTAAATACAAATTTTTTGTCATCGGCATTATACATCATGCACTCATCTGGATTTGGATAATCTGACAAAAATATAATTATTACTTATGATGTTTTTGAAAATATAAATTTTTAAGATACGAAAACAACTTGAAGGCAAGAAAATTTTATTGCTAGATCGGAGTTTTCGGAATTTGGTCAAACATTGTTAGCAAGATTACTCTCTAATCGAAATATAATAGATAATTAAGGGTGATGCTGTTCAAAATCCAATAAAAAGATAATAATATCAAAATTGGGCTAATATGGACGCTCTGGAAACACCAAAAGGGGGAGGAGTACGCTTCCTCTAATTAATTAAAAAAAATCTCGGGTCGAAAAATATGTTTTGCTATTGTTCTAAAAATAGCAAAATATTTGAATTTATTTATCTGACGAAGAAAAAAATATAGCATCTCAGGTAGGCAATATTATATTTCCCTTGTATGGTAATGTTTGTTATTTTATACACAATAATAATTTGCTAGTTTTTTACGATTCTTTTCAATCATGTCAAACTTAATGAAAAAGGATTGAATTATTTTTTCTGGCTTTAATATAATTGTATGTCTAGAAATTTATATTTATATACAGGGTGTTTCATAATATATGCCACACATCTAAATGGGCATAATCTGAATATCAAGCATGATACCAAAAATACCAAAATACCATATACAATCATATTAAGCTAAAATTATGATATTGCAAAATATTGGGAAAATTATAATTTCATGAAGTACACTGATAATCAGTGATGTCATGATTTCAGTTGTTCTCAAAATGGAGTAAAACTAGAAATTCAAAAAGTTGAATTTGTAAACTTTTATTATAAGCACGATATCCTAAATATTCTATAGGGTGTGATGACGAAAAGTATCCAGATCAGAAAACCCTGTCTAGTTTTTATTTATTAAGGTAAATTAAAAAGTTTGAACAAAATGTAATGTAAAGATGGAAGACAGTTAAATCATGCCCCCCCCCCCCCCCACACACACACCAAATGAGAACATCGTCAAATTGAAGTCAATCATTGAGAAAACCTTAAGAAAGTCAGTTAGATCTGAGTTTAGGGAAATGGATTGGGACAATGTAAGTGTATCAAGTGTATTTAGAAATTTTTAATTTGAATTGAGTGTCTGCATACAAGATTTCAGCATTGCAGCATATAAAGCCAACTGACATTCAGAGTCGTTTAAGTTTGCAAAATTGATTGAAAGAGAGCGAAAGAAGTGGACGTCAGCACATACCGGTAGTTCTGAAATGACACATTTATTTAAGTGCATCTTTAAATAAGAAAATAAATATGCACTTTGGGGGTTCTAAAAATCTAGATATAAACAAGAAAACTGTCAAGTATCCTGTGAAACGTACGAAGCAGCGGTCAGAAATCTGAATACGAGTCTCTTGAGGTATTTAGGACAATGGTAAGGAAAACAAGTGGAGTATAACATTTTAGGAAATGGTTGCCATAGAAACTGAAATGGAGAATGTTGGATACTTTTGACTTAAAATAATAATTTTGAATATCTGCTGATTAAAATGATACATAAAATGTATATGTAGCTTTTGTTGAATTTTTTATTTCTGCCTTTAGATGTGTGACATATATTGTGAAACACCCTGTACAATATAAATATAAATTCATATGAAGTTAACCCGTTGTTAATCCAAACTAGCTAACTTTATTTGCACCTTTTTCATTTATACTTATCTGCAGTTTTCAGTATAATATATATAACTAGTTTGTGATAATAGGTGTAAGGTTTTAAAAAAAAAAAATTAAAGAAATACCTTCAAAGCTCTCATCATAAAGTGTATACTGTTTTCCAGGAATCATCCTTTGACGTCCTGTTTCTAAGGTTGATCTATTCTTGGTAAACACAATATCATCCTCACACAGCGTGCAGTTTTTTGGCTCACAGTTGTTTTTACCTCCAAAAGATTTCACGTAAACATTGCCATCTTCAATTCATATAGTTCAAATACTTACTACAAAATGAAAATTTTAGATTTATTTGCTGAATTTTGTTTTGTTTTTGTTTGACGATTTTTTTAAATACTGACAAACAAGGCATTAATATAATCTTGATTTAATGCTAAAATATATCTTATACTTATATTTTCATCTAAGAGAGACAGTCAAAAGAGTCTAATGATTGACGTTATGAATATCGGAATTAAATAAAAAGTGCTAAGCTCTTTATTAGTCTCCTACCGGTGAAACCGGAGGGGAATATAGATTTCCTCTGAGTCTGTTCGTCTGTCTGTCTCTCTGTCTGTCCGTCCGTAATCTGTCTGTCTCTCAGTCTGTCCCACTTGATTTCCCGCACTTTTTTCCCAAAAGCTTGCAGATATTGAACTGAATTTTGCTATGTGAGTGTATCTTGATGGATATAGATCAAGTTTGCATTTCGTTCCGCTTCATTGATTTTTGATGGAATTATGGCCTTTTCAATTTTAAAGGGTTTTTCACAATTTTCTTCTGAAGGCTTTCAGATATTTGGCTGATTTTTGGTATGTGACTTCACCTTGATTAGTTATAGATCAAGTTTGCATTTCGTCCCGCTTCATTGATTTTTGACGGAATTATGACATTTTCAATTCTTAACGGGAACCAGATTACACATGCCGGTAGGGGACTAGTATTGCTAATGCAATACTCTCAGAAAGCTTGTTTTTAATGTAATTAAAATAAGGACAGGAATATTTAGACCGTTTATCTATCGAAATATGTTCAACCAAAAAATATCTTTACTGTTTATCCCTGTACAAACCCATCATTAAAACAGCAAACAATGTTTGACTATTCAGGAAAAAATGGCTTTACAGTTGTCACAACCCCATATTTATCATTGCATAATAAGGAAAGAAACACAACTGGAAACGAGGTATACGAAAAACTTATTTCAATATGGACGCTCAAATATTTTAAATGCTTTGGCAAAGTATATTTTTCTAGCCTTTAAAAGAAGAGACACTTTTTATGAAGTCTCAAGAAGATTGATATAGACTACTTGTACAATACAAAAATTGTAAGGATAAAAATGTTATATTTTGTTTTATTCTTAAACCCGACTATGCAAATACTTGTGACTTAAAATACATTCTTCTTTGGGCCGGTGGCCTTCAATAGATATATTGATTGATTGATATTATAAATATCTTAAATATTTCACAATCAGGAAATTACAAAACTTTTTTGTCGTCTAGTGGTTTGAAAGATTTTCTTTTTTTGGTGCCACGCTCAGATCCATTGACAAACAAAATGCCAAGATACTTCAATTATCTACAACTTCCTCGACTGCAACTTACACAGCTTAAGCTTACCTTAAAATACCAAGGCCATGTTGATTTTTATTCACACACACACACACACACACACACACAGCAATATATTTTGCACATTGAGGTTTATATGGCAATTATGTAGATACACTATATACAATGTAAAGGAAGAATAAAGTTAAAACATTTTTAACATAAGATTTGAAGATAATGAACAGAGTCCGTGCTCGAAAGTTCATTGGAATAATATAGATTTGGAACAGAGCAAACACGGACCTCTAAAATCATCAGGGGGATCAAGTGTCATGGAGGAGTAAGCATCCCCTATCGACCTGTCACAACTGCCATGTACTAATTGTCATGATCGAGCAAACAGGAAAATCCGTAGACAATTAAACATGAAAATAAGGGCCCAATAATTTGCATGAAGTACATCAGTCAACATTCGATTCAACGATATATTGTATTTACAAACAAGGTCAATGCATAGACCACACGATTAAATTTTGTGAAATTTTGATTTCAAACGAGACTACTGATATCCTTGTATCATCAATTTTTTTTTTTGTCAATAGCTTGCCTCGTTTAAGAAATTTTACGTAAGAAGAGCATGCTCTTGAATATTGAAAAACTGGGAATCATAAACCCCACATGCAGATGATAAGTGTAAATTGCTATACAAAATTACATGTATCTCACAATCTTCGTAAAATAAATGAAAGAACTCGAAACTTAGAATTAAGTATCGTTTTAATTGATATTGATGTAGCGTATGCTTGAAGCTGAAATAATGTTTATTATAGTATGAGAAACAAACATTTTAATTCAATCTAGCAGGCTTACAAATGATTTTGTCTTACATTTTAGTTCCGTTATTTCCTCTTCAGTTCTCCTCGACTGTATGATTATGGACCCACCTGTGACAATATTATATTCATATTACATACAAAATGCTTAAGACATTTTTAAATCCAAATATACCTCATAGATAAATATACACACCAGTAGAAAGTTGGAATCTAACACAATAGACCCAAGTGTCCTTCTGTAACAAAAGAGCATCTCCGAGAGTTGCCGGGCGTCTACAGCTCTCTTCGTTAATGCAGGATTCTACACCTTCTCTCCAGTTATGGTTAGATATAGATGATGAAGCTCGAGGTATCAAGCATAAAAATCCTGTCAAACAAATTCTGATCATAACTAAAACTTTCTCAGTTTTCTCAGTATCAAATAATCTGTTCATTTTAAAGGTGACACAGTCTTAAATATGTCAAATGAATACAAGTACATCTTTCACAACAGTATAATTTAAGCAAAATTATGCATTCTTGTAACCATAAGGTAAACTACCTCAAAAATGAAAAATATCATAATTACCACATTGTTTGTTTACTTTGTTGAATCCCAAAACTTTAAATAGCACTCACCAAATATTATCAATATCATTGTAAGCTCTATAGCCCTGAAACAAATATTCACATTTATGGGGAAAAAAGACCGATTCAAAGAGTATACAGGATATGACAAAGATGTCCCAGGAAATTGTAGCATCCCTGTACCACATTGTACCAACTGCTTCCTAGTATGTACATTTTTTTTTATCTATTTGTGCCAACACGTGGGTAACATTAACAGATATTTTTTCTACATTTACATGTTTTACAAGTATTGTCATACGGAAACAGAAATAGAGTATTCTTACATGTTTTTTTTTCAACAATATACTTGATATATTTCTAAACACTCACTATATTTTATCCTCATATTTACAACTTCTATTTAAAAAAATAATGTTGAAAAACAATTCTATTTTTGATTATTTTTTTGTCAGGCGCTAAGATTAAGTAAAGTTTTCTGAATTTGAAATAATAGATTGTAAAACGGAATTAAATAATTGATATATAACAAGCCTTCCTGTCATTTTAATGGAATATTTCAAACAAGGAAGGATGTAAATTGTCATTCATATTGCTATCATAATTACTATGGTTATGGTTATGCTTGAGATACGATCGCCATTGATGGGTGTAAACTGTGTTGCAAATAGAATAGTAATACACATGTATATGCAGCCTGCATATGACTTTATTTTACTTTTTTGTCAGTTCGTTATTGGTGCCTTCCTTTAAGTTCGTCTTTAAAAAAAGAATATACATAACCATATAAAATGTCATGTTTTTTAATCAAGGAAGTATTGTTAAATAAGCTTTATATATTTCAAAATTCAGTCGGGGTAGTTCATAGAACGTTCAGACCATATCCTTCCTTGAATATTTTTGTGTGATATAATAAAGATATAATAAAGATAATTTTTGTAGAGTCTCATGGAGTGTGTGGGGAAAAAAACTAAAATCTACTCAAAGAAAGGATATAGTCATATTTGTATGCAATCATTTTCAATTACTGCAGAATAAAGTTAGTTTGATTCGTGACTTGTGGTGAAGGGTTGGGCAACAGCTCTACAGAGGAATATATAGGGAAAACTTTAAAAATCTTTTCACGTACAAAGGTGTGATTTGGCATATCAATATCCAATCATCCACATGTAGTGCAGTTTTATACTTACTAAAAATTAATGGCTATTTGGTAGGGTATAGCAGCAATAGGAGATAAAAATTTCACGGGAAATAGAAAACATAGAGAAAAGTGAGTAAAATTACTAATCTTATTACTTTTACACAATCCGGAAAAAATGAACAAACATAAAACTGTACGATTACTAGAGGAAAAAACTCATTAGAGAAAAATATATAGGCTTTCAGTGTCATATTCATGTCTTCATTATTTTTTGTGTTTTATTTATTTAAAAAAATGTGAAAATAATGAATATTAATCTATCTTAAAATAATCAACAAACAATAAAATTCTGTGGAGAGGGCATAAAACAGATTTTCCAGAGGTGGGATCAGGTGCCTAGGAGGAGTAAGCATCCCCCGTCGACCCGTCACAACCGCTGTGAGCCTTATGTATTTATCAGGGAGACGGAATATTCTGTAGTCAAATTTAATATAAAAAAGTAAGGCTTGACAATTTGTATGAAACGTGCAAAAAAAGTTTTTCACTCTTATTATAGAAGCTTCCCAAGTGGGCTACGGTCTATACATACTCAGAAATAGGTTGTATATTTATCATAATCAAAAGTATAATTCAAAAACAAACTCCTCAAAATACATTAAACTATTTTAAATTTTTCTAAAGATACTGTATATTGGAATGAATATTTCAAACTTATTCGGTAATTTCCACGGACAAAGCGTATCAGATATTTTTTGATTGACTATTTTGAAACCTTGGGCTACGGACTAAATGCATATAGTACTTTTAAGTTAATGAGAAACCATGAAAAATAGTTGTTGTATTATAAAATATTTGTTAAAATTTTTATATTGGAGTTCACTTGTGTTAAATGAATTTATACAAAATCCTGTGAAATTTAAAAAAAAAAAATAAAATGAAATAAAAGCTTCATTTCTCAATACATGTATATTTTTTCAATAGACACAAAATTTATTTTTAAAAAATTTAAAAAGTTTTTTGTGTGGAAAGCAACGTTCCGCTCCCGGATTAATAAAAAATACTGTTGATTGCCCAAAATAGAGGTGTTGAATGGTTTCGTCCCTAGTACCCACATAAAATTCATGCTTCTTAGATGCTAAATTAAAGCTCCTTCTTGGTCTTCAAATGGTCTTAAAATTTATTTTGATATCAAAACACCAATAAAATGTAATTTTGACATGTATTATTTTGTTCTGACAATTTATATTTTAACAACATATTCAAAATTGCTGGTCTTCATTGTTTTACATTAAATAAAATTTGAAACAATGATACATTATTTCTAAATTAATTATCAGAAGAACAGCCGATCGGATTTATACACAATGGGATTCAATTCCTCAGTTATATAATTGTGAAGTAATATTGAAGTGGTTTTTTTTTTTAAAATAAATTAATAAAAACAAGCATAATATGCATTCAAAAAATACCAATTATTGGTTATTCAAATTAAGTCAACGATATAGATTTATATTACCACTCTGAACTTAACAGAGGCATATCGTAGTAGTTAAGGTGTTCGCCTTCGGGGCATAATGTCGTAAGATCTATATTCCACGTGCGGAAACTTTATTTTAATTTTTTTAAATTTTTACACCGAGTGAACAAATGAGTAAATCCGGCGTTTATAAATTTGAAATTAGTATATGAATAATATTTTATCTGAAAAAAAGTTTATTGGTGATATTATAGTGGTTTATGGATGCTTTAAAGACAGCTTAAAGGAGTTTGGACATTAAAAATCTAAAAGTCTTGCTTAATGATGGATTAAGGGAAACTTAAAGACCGTCGAGAACCATCATTAAATACCTAAAACCCACCTTTCAGCAACCTTTAATTACCCTTTAAAGAGTTGGCGATGGTACCTTAATGATGATGTACATATTATTAAAATAAAGTATTAGGGTGCTTAAAGGTGGCTAAATACAAATTCCCTA